AAAAAAAAAAGCAGCAATCTGTGGAGGGGCGCTAAAGCTCACCGCCTTGGAGGAAGCTGCTTGCTCACTTTTGGAGAAGGGTATCAGCAGCTGTGAAGGATGAAAAACTGGGTAAGTGAGAAGGTGAGGAACAACAGCAATCACATATTATTAAGTGGGACTGTCATGATCATCTCCGATAATATCTAGTACTGTCCATGGTCCATATTTTTTTGGCATTTAGTTTCCGTGATATGTTCGTCTCTGGTGCGGATTCTTACGATCGGACTCGTCTGTGCTGATTTTCCTGTACGATCGCAAGCTGCTGAAATTTCGGTAGTTGTTCCACACGATTCGGCAAGGTCTGTTCGTACTTTACCGTCGTCCCACGAAATGAATGCACGGTCATTATCTCAGTATCTAGTCGGAAAGTTGCCCAAAATACAGGTACCATGCCCGTATATTCTCATCGGGGGAAGAAGGAAGTGCCAACAACTCTATAGTTCTGGGAGGTGAATCTGCGGCTTGGTCTGGAAACAACAAGTCTAGTCTGACTAGACTCCAAAGATATTCTCCTTCTTTCCGGCCAAGGTGCAGTCGGCGTGGCGTACACCCTGTGGCTGAACCGATCATCGCATTATTTTACATACTAGCTATTTGGGGCAAATGCTGGTTCCTGGCACTCCTGCCAAGTTGCAAATGCTGGTCCCCGTCACGTTGATCTGAGGTAACAGAGTGCCGCAAATAAGCAGGTGGTACCTGGGAAGGCTTTCACCTGTGCGACGCGAGGGTGCGGACAGGTTCCCTGCCCACAGCATCGACATGGCGGGTGGCACCTGGTAGGCCTTGCCCCTGCTATGATGATTTGGAAGAGAGTGCGAGGGGTGGGATGAACTCACATTGGAGAAAAGAGGCGTGCGGGCAGTGGTGGTTTAAATGAATTCAGGGTTGAAATGTTAAACCCATTTTGATAATATGGCAAAGTTTGCCAGTGGTGTGGGGCTGTGGCCGTCGCCTTGTCGCCTGCCAGAAGGCCCAAGAACACATACTGATGGCGAAGGGGCTTGCCACACAGCACAAGAAACGGAAACGAAGCGAGTGCATCTGCCCATGAAAGGTGGCAAAATATACTCCTTAGGAGTTGTGACTATTTAATATTTATTTATAGCTGACGGACCTGTCCGTTTTCTGTGGGAAGATGTAATCGTTTTGTTTTTCGTTTCGTGTGCCGTGCAACGATGCCCTCGGACTTGCGGCCACGGACGAGACGCTGGAGACTGGAGCTTGAGTGGGAATCTCAAAAGCAGAAACGCAAAAGAGATCAAAGAACCCATGCACAGACCCAGGGTAGTTGTTTTTGGTGGGTCATCCTTGTGCATCTTATCTCATCTTGCAAACTCGAATACCATAACAGATTCTTTAGAGAGACCAAAAATAAAAATAAAAATAGTGGGCCATGCTCTGATGGCTGGAGGGAGATGACAAAGCTATGTTCGCAGGGGTCCCTTGTATAAGCCTTAGGTAGTGAAGGTGAATTGAAAGAATTTGAAAGATGATGAAAGATTTGAGAGAAGAATATAGCGTAGTTTTTCATTATATAAAAAAAAAAAAACAAAAAAAAAACAACGCTATGCAATCAACGTCAAGTTAAAACAGATTCTTTTGGAGATACGAAATCTTGGTCCTGTTGGTTTTACAAAACTACACATTCTTTTTTCAAATGAATTTATCTTTGATACCTCGGCGAAGTTGCGGATTGCCGGCACGTGGGGAATCCGCTGAGAGTTGCCCTCTTTTATTTGGCTCGTTTCTTTCACATTTACCCCTTTTGTTTTTTCTATTTGACATTTGCTGTAGCGTTTACAGGCACTGGCCCAGTGTTGCTTCATTTGTTCACACTTCAATAACAGTCTTTATCTGTTATCTTTTTTCTGGTTAAAAAAAAAAAAAAAAAAAGAAGTAATGAACAGTTATTATCTGTTATCTTTTTTCTGGTTAAAAAAAAAAAAAAAAGAAGTAATGAACAGTTAATGTGTTTGCCAATTTTAAATGCACTTGGCTAAGTTGGCTTCACAAAATAACCCTTTTCTTAAATTCATCTGTCTTCTGTGGGCCGATTGAGTCCCCATTGCACCCACCCCTGGTGTTCATATTCGTGTTTTTTTCCTTTCCCTCCCCTCTTTTTTTCTTTCGAGTTGCATCTTTTTTTTTTTTGGGGGGGGGGGGGGGGGGGGGGGGGGGRGRRRAG